GGCCCTTTTTTGGGGTGAAAAAAGGCGGAATTGGGAGCAGTTGGACTCACTCTGTTTCCTTCTCCAGAGCCTCAACCAATAGGGACGGGAGCCTGAGGGACGGGGGCGGGGCAACGCTTAGTCCCTCCCCCCTGCCTAAACCACGCCCACCGTAGAAGCCCCGCCCCCTTCTCTTAGCCACGCCCAGCGTGCAAAACAGCCAATCACGTGGCTCCACGCAAGCCCCGCCCTCTCCATAAGCCCCTCCCCTGATCAGGCCACGCCCACCAGGCACAGTAGCCAATCCGATGGCTCCGCTGAAGCCACGCCCCCTTCAATAGCCCCGCCCCCTTACCAAAAGGAAGCCCCGCCCACCAGGCACAACAGCCAATCACACTTCTCCCCGAAGCCCCACCCACCGCAAGCCACTCCCCCATCATTAACCACGCCCTCCTCCATAGCCCCGCCCACCACACAATGCAGCCAATCCATTGGCTGCACAGAAGCCCCGCCCACTGTCTTCGCAACGCCCGCCCCCCCACGGAGGCCACGCCCACCCCGCACTGCAGCCAATCCCATTGGTCCCCCCAGCCTAGACCCGCCCCCATTCCTTAGCCCCACCCACAATCTGCTGCAGCCAATCAGATGGAAGCCCCTCCCTCAGCCCCACCCCCTTTTATCCTGTACTGCCTGCCTATTGGGCACGCCCACCGGAAGTCCCGCCCACCTGAGCCTGAGTTCCGGATCCAGGCGCCGCCATCTTCCCGCCGTGAGGCAGCGGCGGAGCAGAACGGCGGCCAGCTGGCGCAGCTGGGCATTATGGGATGGCAAGAGAGGGTTGGGGGGCAGTATTATGGGATGGCAGGGGGGTTATTATGGGATGGCAGGGGGATTATTATGGGATGGCAGACAGAGAGAGGCATCATGGGACGGAAGAAAAGCATTATAGGATGGGATGGGGGGAGGTGGAATTGTTATGGAATAGCAAGAGGAATTATTATGGGATGGTGGGGAAATTATTATGGGATGGCAGAAACGATATTATGGGATGGCAGAAACGATATTATGGGGTGGCGGCGAGATTATTATGGGATGGTAGGTAGAAGAAAAGCATCACGAAATGGTAAGAGAATTATTATAGAATGGGATGAGAAGAATTTTTACGGAATAATAAGGACAATTATTATGGGATGGCAAGGAGATTGGGGTTATTATGGGATGGCAGAGGGAGAACGATAAGGAGAAGGCCAAAGAGGGACTTATTATGGGATGGAGAGATGGGGGTGGCCCCGTATGTGTGGGCTTATAGGTTGCTACAGGGTGG